TGACATTATCATTTGCCACATGTCAATCATTGAGGGCATAGATCATCTTCTTATATTATATATAGATTATAATAGATGACTTTGAAAACTTATATATTAAAACATTTCGAACAATCAACAATTCAAAACTAACATTATTGAATTTATGAACTATAAACTTAATTAACAAATCTTTATATGTATTCCTTTCTAATGTGTGCACAAATTTTAGACTATTTTACCAGTCCACTACTGCTAGTATGGATTTTTTTTTATCAAACTAATTTTATCGAACTATATATAATTTTGAAGTGTAAGTTAAGTATATCTATATATAATTTGGTATTCTAGTTCATACAATTTTATAATTAAGACACGTATAGAAAATATTTCATGAAAAATTTATTATACAAATAAGGTACAATCATATATGTATATTAGGTCTTGTTGATGCATATTAATATATATGTATATTATTAATTATAAATGATGTTGCCCGAGAATATTAATTGCGTATTGTATACGACAATTCACATTGAATTTATAAAAAAATAATTAATAAAATACAGTAGGAACAATCTATAAACGTAAAACAAATATATATAGATGTATCAAGAAATTAATAGAATATATATTATCACACCAAAATCAAAATATTTATGTCTAGGATACTCCATAAAGACATGAAGACGTAGAAAATAAAAACATTAGAATAATTACCAAATATAATTGCAAAATGTAATAAACTATTCTATGTTTGTAACTTTTATTATATTTCTTATGGCGTCGAACGATAACGAATATGTGTTGCCAATAATAAGATGATTCGATGTACAAAACGAATTACAACCAATTGTTAGGTATACTCCGCGTGATTTATTTTTTCCTTCATACAAACTAATTTTATTCAATCAACCTTCTTCGCATTCAACAGGGATATATTTCTTGGCAACCAATCCAGCAGTCTCGGTGAAAGTTTTGCGCAGGTACTACAACATAATTAAAATGAAAATTGTTAATAAAAGTATAATCACAAACGCATCTATTGAATAAGAAAAATATATATAATAAATAACGTACCAGTTTGTGCATATCATAACGTGAAAATATTTTTGTAAAATAACATATCGAACCATTATCCACCGCTTCAACATCATCAATGATTTGTAGGAATAGATCGTTCATGTATAAAAGCCTCATCGCATAAACCACAACAAAAGAAAGATTTGAAATATTCCATTTCAGTCATCCCACATACAATGCAAGATCCAGACCGTGGAACGACTTTGATTGATTCCCTACATGAGATGCACATACATGGATCAAAATTAGGATCAAAATACGCGTTGCAAAGAACACATTGTTTAGACTGAGCGCAAACAATTTTTTATGATCTTCATAAAGTACGAACGACTTTATTTAATAAAATTCACGAAAACAATTAAAAAAATATATTTTGAAATTAAAATCCAAAAGAAAAAAATACAAATAGTACTTATATGTATATATAAAAATAATTATGAATATAAAACTATGCATATATACTTATAATAATCTATAAGAAATGATAAAAACAAATGTAATATGAAACTGTATAATACGAACATTGTGCACTTTGTAATCGAATGGTGGTAGATAAAAATGAAATGAACATTGAGGGGTTTATATAGTATTGAAAATGAACTTAATTCTATGGAAAAATAAAAAATAAAAAAGATTTATATATTAGTAAATGAAATCAAATCAAACAAATAAAGGAAACAACCCAAAAAAAAATAAAATAATAACTTGTAGAAAAAAATCTTGGAATATAAAAACATTAAATATGAAGATACGATTTTTATTTTTTACCATTCAATTTTGAATTAAAGTGTAAATTAAATCAATTAAAGATGATATGAATGAATCTTGGAATATTAAAGATTCATTTGTATTGGTGATTTGATATTTTATTTGAAATAGTAATTGACAAATATAATGCATAATCCGGTTTATAGTTCCAAACATATTATATATTAAATAGTGTTTTCCAAATATACTGACAAACTACTGCATTTAGAAAACAATTTCTTGTCCTAACAATTGCGGGCTGGAGATCACAAAATATTTAGAAAACAACAAATATGCTTTAAATTATTAAAATATGCTGCATTTAAATTGTTAAATTTTTAAATTTCAAAATATTACATATTTATTAAATAGTATAATTATTTTTAATTTGAAATATGGTATAATAAAAATTATATACAAAAAATAGTGTATATTTATTAAATAGTTCAATTAAAAAATAAAACAATTTTTTATTATAATTTTTAATGGAATGGATATTCGAATATTCTAAAATATTGAAAAAAAAAAACAAAAAAAAAAAACAGCAACAACATATTCCTTTTATTTTAATATTTTAGTATTTAAAAAAAAATATGTTTTTTATGAAAATTATTTGAATATTCGTAAAAAATATTGAGTTTCATGAAGTTTTTTCAATAAATACATTTTGAAATACTGAAAATATAAATAATATTTTTTATTTCGAATTTGTAAATATTAACTTTGGAAATAATATATATACATGTGGTAATTATTAAATGATTGTGTAAATGTAAAATAGGAAAGAACTTAAAAACATCCATAAATAAAAATGACACCTAATCAATTGAAGAATCCACCTAATCAATTGAACTCCAACTAAGCAATTTTGACAAATGACATCATCATTTGCCACATGTCAATCATTGAGGGCATAGATCCTCTTTTTATATTATATATAGATAATAAATAAAATTGAAGACCGTGATTCTTAAAAAATGGAAAATAAATATCAAAATAGAAATAATAAATAAATATAGAAATTCGAATATATATAATATTAAAATTTTATTTAACTTTTTTTTGCTTTCAATATTCTGTTATTTAAATATAATCATTTAATTTGAAATTAATTCATCACATAATACGTGGTATTGATATATTTTGCATGTAATTTTATAATGTTAATGCAAGGTTGTTGTAATATTTTTTTATTTTATTTTTAAACCTTAATTTGTGAATGGCGTTTGAGTTATATTAAATTAAATAATTAATTCAACTGATGCTACTGATTCTAGCTAGTTAGTGCATGGAATTAACTGATGAGATTAATTTCTTCTAATGACATAAAAAAAAAGAAAAAAAAATCAAAGCGATCAGAATAACTTCAACTAGTCGTTCAGACATCAGTCAAAAGCAGCTGGATCGATCAGCTTGCTTACCGGACTACAATTCATTGTTCTTATATATATATATATATATATATATATATATATATATATATATATATATATATATATATGATGTAACTAATTAATTTAATTAATTGGGAATTATTATTCTATTGCCATGATCTCTAAAATAAAAATTCAAATTAAATGATCAGGAGCTAAGTATTACTAATACTAATAATGTTTTGATGAAATAAAATTAATAAATAAACTTGTGGGTTGTTGCTTTTTTTTTTTTATGTACAGTTTGAAATTTCACTGTTTCCACCTCTGCTGATAATTAATGATATTGCATGGATATGGAAAAAACTGAAAAAGGGAAACAAATAAGGAAGAAAGATCATAGGTATCATATATATATATATATATATATATGTGTGTGTGTGTGTGTGTGCCTGCGTGTGTAAAAGAGAGAAAAGATAGGGGCAAGGTACAAGCATTAGTTGTTGCTTGTGATGATGATGCCAAAAATTACTCGTCGTAGCTAGTAGAAATGCAACGCCATGGGATTGTGGATTTAAATGCAGCAACATTGTTTTTTGTTTTTTTCTTTTTTAGATTTAAATCTCTGAATGGTTGGGGGGGGAGGTGGTTTCTTAATTAATGAATCTTTAAATGTTTTTGCATTTTTGTGTGGATTGTGGATGCAGCTGTCACCTTGTGGAAATGCAACGCAATCATGCACAAGGAATACAAATATATATACATGTTATATTTCCCTTAATTAGGTTAACTTCCTTTGATTAAGTAGAGTTATTTAAATATTTATAAATTCAATAAGAAATTTATAAATAAAACTCGAATTTTTAATTATAAAGCTGTACATGTCACAATAAATATCTTCATTGTAA